GGATCGAGTCCCGCATCGGGCTCCCTGCTCGGCAGGGAGTCTGCTTCTCCCTCTGACCCTCCTCCCTCTCATGCTCTCTCTCATAAAATAAATAAAAAAAAAAAAAGAGAAAAGAAGATTTCAATCAAATTTTTTTCATCACTCAGTTTTGCCTGTATAAAAAGAATTTAATGCTATTTGTCCTGACTTTCCCCAAAGGCATAATAAAGGAAAAAAAGATATTTAAGTATCTCTCATCCAAAACAAAACTATGTGCAGTACCTAAAAATAAATACGACAAAAGTTATATCTACCTATATAATTTTTAAAAAACTTAAGTGACAGAATTAGAAAGTCACCATCTGGCAACTCCTAATAAAGTAATGACTCCAGCAAGGATAATCAATAAATGTTCAATTAGGTAAAAAGTTGCTGGGCTGACGGAGAACATGAGTGGGTAAAACACAACCCAAACTCATGAATCCCTCTCACCATCACTAAAAGTGAGATAAAAAGTCCTGTGTGTCACATGATATGATGCAACAGGGAAGTATACCATACCATTTATGAAGGACCCATTTCTAAGAAAATGTGAACCTGATCAAGCCTCTGTACCTCAATGAGTATAGAGTAATTACTAGTTTATGGGGAAATAAAAGGAAAGAGGAATAAATTAAATGATACTAAATGGATAAACTATCAAACACATGCAGAATATGGTACAGGACAAATTTCTCTACAAATCAACAAGAGAAAAGAAATTAAAGGAAACTGCTACAGAATAAAAGAAAAGGAATCTAAGAGACATAAACCTGAAAACAAAAGGATTAGCAGCAGGTTTGTAATCTACTTTCTCCCTCTTCTATTCACTTCCATAAAGACATGATCTTATCAAATCCCCTTGTAAGCATGCAAATGACAGACTTCTTGTCAAACAATTGAACAGTATTTACTAGATGTACAGAGCCTAGCTAGGTTGGTTATTATAAATAAACGTAGCATGCATGGATTTATGGAGTATGGCTCACTGAAAATGTCACACAAGCTATCTAATTAAAGAGATATAAAAAAGGAGATGTTCAGTAACTGATACTCTTTTGCGTCATGATGTTAAACAGAGGCCAGATCACATTCTTCCACAGCAAGAAAAACCTTGGGAACAACATATGCAATTGCAGGTTTCACCTGTGTCTTTTAGTTATATCCTTGAAATCATTGGTATAAAGTTTGATCCTGGGTAAGTCTGTTGATTCTTATGAGTCAGACTTGATAATATAGTCCTTCCTATAATCTCATAACCAAACATGGGTGAACTTCAGTTGGACCTTGATTCCAAAAAACCTACTATAAAAAAAACATTTTCAAAATCAGGGAAATTTTATTATGGACCAGGTGTTAGATATTAATAAGGAATTATTGTTAACATTGGCATAAGAGTATGGTGGTTTTAAAATATGTCCACAAATCCTTTAAGACTCCTCCCTTCAGAGGTAGAGCCTAACTTCCCTCACCTGGAGTGTAGATCATTCTAAGTAACTAGTTTCTAATCAACAGAATACAAAGTGGTTGTATTGATTTCTGGGAATAAATCACAAAGGCATCATAGCTTTCGCCCTGCTGTCTTTTGAATCACTTGCTCAGGGGAAGCCTCTTGCTAACAACCAGCACAAACTTCTTAGCCACACTCAAGAGTTTCTTGTAATCCGATCTCTGCTCCCTGTCAAGCGTTCAGATTCCTACAGCAACAGTCCATATTTTGGTATGCAACTTAATGAGAAATGTGATTTTTTTGCTTTCATGAATAAAGACCTTATAATTTTGGTAGCAACAAGTGTTCCACCATTCCAACCAATTTAGAAAACATCAATTTACTACAACCAAATTTATAATTAGATTATATGCCCAATAAAGTGTAAATGAAGGAGGTAGGGAAAACAGCAATATAGGGAATCACTTATAAATCATTAATATTTCTGTAAGAACGGATCTCCACATTTTTGGTATCTCTCCCAAGAGCAATAAATTCATGGGCTAACAATAAAACTATCACATAAATTGGAGGAATAGTGAATTAGAGGGAATTTATGGGTCCTTCTGTATATAGCCCAGGGATTGACAACAAGCCTTAAAGATAAGCCACAAGTCACACGAGGCACTGGGCAATGAGAGTAGCAATGACTACATACAAAGGCTCTAGTCGATGGCCTGTTATTCCTAGGAGGCATGTCTTCAGCTATGTCACTAAAGTCTTAACGCTAGCTAAATTAGTTAAAGCTGGATTAAGTGAGATTACTGTCAGGATTTGTACGTAAGATCAAACTTCTATGCAAATCTAATTTTCAACTTCATTGTAGAAAACTGTTTACTTAAACAATTTTTAAAATGAAGTTTCCTGGGCGCCTGGGTGGCTCAGTTGGTTAAGCGACTGCCTTCGGCTCAGGTCATGATCCTGGAGTCCCGGGATCGAGTCCCGCATCGGGCT